AGAGCAGTTGTATAATACGGCGAGCGCGCGGAAAAGAGTTTTTCTGTTTTGCTTACACGACACGCGCCCAGCTTTCCTCGAGGACGCGTGCGGTCGGCCACTATATGCCCGAATGAAAAAGAGACTTTTCCAAAGTCTCGTTTGCCAGCCTGGCCACCGGCAACGAGCAACTACAGCTCGTGTACAATACTCGAGCTTGCGGATCTAATGACATTACGGATGTATTCGTACGCACGACACAATTTTTCTCTCTTACGATATCGCGACCAATTCGTAGGACGCGCAAGTTTGGAAAGGCGCGCGTGGTCCGACGTATACGTATATTATTTATTATACGCCCCACGATGGCCGCTGGGGATCGTGCATATTGAAATATTCATACGATACACTCGGCTATAGTTTTCGAGTGCAAGTGATATTTTCGCGGTTAAATAATGCGCGCGTAGACCCGAACTTTCGGTCCCGACGTATCGTATATATTGAGAGTAAAATTCGATACTACAGAGAAAAAAAAATCTTACCCCCGCGCTCGACTGTGGCTTAAACAAGTGAATCGGCAAACACACACGGATCAGCCCGCGCCCATGTAACGCAACTACCCGACAAAAACTCCAAAAACGAGTCATCGATACGCGTTGCATTGAGAGCGTATATTATAATGCAGACGTATCAGCTTCGAGTGTGCACCGCGTTGTACTACGTGCATCTGTCAGAAATTGCCTGAGCGACGCTTTTCTTGGTCAACAGAAGTAGCAGTAGCACAAAAAAACCACCACCACCAGCTCGGCGTATTATGTGTGTATACAGCATATCGGCGCACAGTAGCTAGTGTATACTTTTAACACGCGTATATAAGCACACAATTACGCATCGCGTCTGTTGCAAGTACAGGAGAGATACGGAGAGAATCGCATCTCTCGCGAAAAAGAGCCTCATCCCCTTTCGTGTGCGCTCTATGTACACATACAAGGGTCATCGTCATATGTTTGCCTCTTTTAACGAGCGCAACCTGTTGTCTGTGGTGCTGCACACTGGGTATATTGTGTACACCGTAGGCCATCGAAAGAGATAAACTCGAGCGCATCTTTATTATGTACGGCAGTCGGCGTCTAAAAAAAGAAGTAGATGTATGTTGCCGCTGCTGCTGCCTCGGCGGGTGGCAATTCTCAATGCGTACGCGACCCGCACGGCCCTATATCATAGCGCGACTGCAGCTAAACGACGCGCCACGCGATCTCTATACACTCGATTGTCGTCTAGCCACCAAATGTCCGCAGAGATCGGTTACGCGTCGCTTAGCCCGCAATTTTATATCACGTATCAACGACAGGTGCGCGAGGGGATAGCTAGTAGTGGTGGTACACAACCCGAAGAGAGAGAGATAAGAATTTTCAACTACGACGCGCTCGCAAAGTTTACAGTTAAACGAACGACTGCGAAAATTTCCTAGATAGGATTATAAAAGAGATCACGCGTTTCGAACTTTTAATAGAGAGAGAGAGAGAGAGCGAAGTGCGCTGCGCTGCGGGACTGAACGCGTATTAACGATCGCAAGCGGCTCATTTGATTATACGATTGCGGGGGATGATTCGCCGACTACCGTTGGTGGCAGGGGGTCTCCGCGCGTCTCTCGATTCTCGTACACGCTTCGCTATGTCAATTGGATCAATTGGATTAGAAGCGCTTCGGCGGCATTTTATACGATCAATTACACCTTTTACAATATACAATGCTGTATACCCAATTCTTCCGGCAATCAGATCGCCCGATTGCCCGACGAATGCTGACGAGAGCTGGTATAAGGTGGAATGAAGATTTCGCTCGCTCGTTCATTTCACTTTTTTCGACTTTATTCGATGAAAAAATACATTATACAAAAATATATGACACGTGTGTGTCGCGCTGCCAATTAGTACACCGTGTAGCAGAAGCAGCCGCCGTTGCCGTCGCAGAAGCCACCGCTGGGATAGCCCAAGCGTTTGCACTTGATGTTGCACTTCAGCTTGCTGCAGGTGGTGGCTGTACAAGATAAAATTTAATTTAATTTATTGCCGCTACTAACCAACGTTCGAATCGATAATGCGAATGTTAATTAATTAACTGATATGCGCCGTTCCACTTACGATTATTCTTACAGCTCATTGCCATTCCGATGAACGCGACGAGCAGCAAAATTGCGACCAATTTCAGCGGTAATGACATTTTCAATTTGATCCTGTTTTTTCGGAAATGCAACTGCGCGACACGACACGATGCACAAAAACAACGCGACTGAATGTGAAACGACGCTCCGACGCTTCGCTTTTTATACGCGAAATATTTCATCATTTTCCACTGTGTCTCTCTCTCTCTACCGATGATCGACTTCCTTGTTAAATATTTACAATTCGGTGTCCGGCCGATGCACTCGCGCGCGCGCGTATCAATTTCGCAATCGCCCGCGCTCCAACATGCAATTATTCAACTCGTTATGGAAAATATTTACGCAGCGAGAGGCAAAAGCAAAATATCAACAATTGTTTTATTGATGTATCGCAAGGAAACAGGATGAGTTCAATGTCGTTCGAAACGATTATATCAAGAAGAAAGTACGCAGAGTCGAAAGAAGGAAAAAAATCTATCGAGCTCTTTATACATCGTCGGTCGCATTCGCCGAGTTTTAAAGTACACGCGCCAAGATAATTCAACTCTCTGCTGCTACTAGCTTCTCGCGGGGACCATTACGTATATGTGTGCGCGTGTGCGGCCGTGCAGAGGCGGTATTTGATAGCAAACAAGCTAGAGACCATCAAATTCAAGACAGGAGCACGCGGGCATATACTTCTGAGGCAGGGACGACTTACTCTCTATGTGTGTCTACTGTGCATAAAGCCAAGCGGAATAGAAGAGATGAGACAAAGAGCAAATTCGCGTTTGTTGTAGCGTGTATGCCTGTATATATAGACGCGAGCAAAAGAGAGAGAGAGGATAGTCTTCCCCATAAGTATCGCATATGTCAGGGCTCGCCCTATAGCGTATACGCACACAGACACATATATACACAGACATAAGCTTCGCTGTAGAAGTTGTCAGGGTCGACGACGACGACGACGACCATCTATTGCTTCGTGTATGAGGGAGAATAGATGCACACGCACACACATACGCGCACAAACACATTTATGGATATTCGGTGTACTCGTACAGACGCGCGAAAAAGGGATGTATTATGGGCTAAGAGAGAGATGTGCGACTGCGTGATCGAGGAGTTCTATACATATACACCGTGTATCGCGAAAGGGGAGTAAGATAGTTGGTAAGAAGGAAACAGGGTGGATGCCAGTGCTAAAAAATAACGCGAACGATAATGGCCAATGTATCGGGGCAGTCGCTCTATACGTATACGTATTATATATAAGTTCAAAACTAAGTAAAAAATTTCCTATGCCCTGGTCTAGAGCGATGATATTATAATGTACAAAAAGTCGAGTTTCGATGCACGTGTATATATGTGCTGATTCACGATGATATCGAGGACGAGACATTTTTAACGAGAGAACATCTCGATTTGTATTCTTTACGTTCGGTAGCGACGTGTTGTTTTTTGGGAAGGATGATTTTGTAAAATTGGTCGAAAAAATGATGGATTAAGTAGTTTCAAATTTCAAGTTTACAATGTGTAATTACGGCGGCGAACTCAACGAAGAGTCGCATTGTTCTATTCTATTCGTAATGTAAACACCATACTGATGTATTGAAATTGGAATACATAATATTAGAAATACCTTGATTTGATGCATATTACTTGTACAATTATTTTTACTCTGCCACTTGCAGAGTTAGTATTTCATTTTACTATTGAAAGTAATGAATAAGGTAAAACCTAGCTAACTTAAACGTGGATTTAAACGATTATTTTGACTTTGCCACATGCAGATTTACAGCTACAGGTACTCGCCATCTAGCGGTGGACGCTGGTTTTAATTATGATTGAGTTTACGTACAATTTTTATTCAACCACTTAATCGTTATTAAAACATTAATTTGAATTTTCAGACACTTGAATTTTTTATTTTTTTATTTGAATGTTTGATTTTACATCAATAAATTTGACTTGATTTAAGGTTTTTACTCAATAAGTTTAAAAGTGTCATTGGTTTTAAATTATTTGACACCTGTTATATAATCATGCTATATTATTAATTAAATGCATTGATATACTATTGAATGAATCAAATTGTTATATTTACAAGCAATTTATTTAATCAAATCTATTCTATGGTAATACCTTCGAATTATTTTCTTTTCAGTGTGATTTTTGCGTAATTGGGTGTTACCTCGTAACAGCGAACCATTGAAATTTATGTCAAATGGCTCAAGGAGTCGAGACAAGTACTTTTAACCGCGTATTTACACACAAAAGCAGTCACCGAATATATCCAAGCCGTATAAGATAGTCTCAACCTGTTTTGACAACGCACAAAGGATCAAGCGCGCGCCCGGGCTAACGTGTTAGTTTTGGATTCACTTTGTGCTCCCGGGGAGATTATTGCGGCTCTTTTATACATACATGTACGTAACGTCGAACGGGATGGGAGTTCCTTTTCCTATATATACGTGTGTATCCCTTTTACAAGGGCATTGCTGCTTGTACGCGAGCAGTGAGCCAAGAACGCTTGAATAAATACGATTTCGACAAATTATGTTTTCGTATAGCTCGAAACGTATGAATGGGATTTGTGTCGATGCTGCCAATAAAAATTGCTTTTGCAAGCCTGTCGGTAGATTAGCGGTAAAAAAAATTTTTCGTAAATTTTGGATTGTTAGAACTTACAAAATCGTGTTACATATAGTATTCTAATATTTTAGATTGATTCAAAATGAGCAGTTTGGTATTTCTCTAGGAAAAATTTATTGATAAATACTAATACATTGTATTTACATAGATACGTTGTAGTAAGTTACGTAGTAAGATTATTCTAAAATTGTAGGAACACATGGTACCATAACGAATGAAAATATTTGAGTAAGTCTTCTGACCCAATGCACTACATCGTGCATTGCTATTATTGGCATAATTGAACGTACATTTTATACATTTATTTAGTCATAGCGGGTGAGTCGTGCGTCATATCAATCATTACTTCAAGAGTCTTGATGTGGGTTTCAAGATGATAATTTTACAAATATGTCTGACTGCATGTACATGCGCGGCTAATACACAATATCATAAATACAAAAATTTGTCATACCTAATGAGGAAAGCTCAATCTTTATACACTGAATTGATATGTCTGTTGAAATTACTCTTTGTTTAGAATTTCTTTCCGTAAATATCCCACACATGCGTAATTTTATTTTGCACTTCATCTATATGGATTTTAATACGATTGTTTTGTGATTATGATCTTCCGCATTAATTACATTCATATATAACACCATTGTGTAACGAATCGATGTGTTTTTTGAGTTTACTGTCACGTAAGAATTTCTCTTTACAAATGTCGGATGCATATGAAACACTATTGTGGGCCGAATAAACGTGTCTTTTAATTGAACTCTTCTCTGAAAATTTCTTCTCGCGTATATCACAAGCATATCGGACACTATTGTGTCTTGTCCTTATCTATGTGGATTTTGAGGATTCTTTTTTTGGTAAATGACTTTTCGCACTCACTAGATGCATATTTGACACCATTGTGCACATTTTCCATGTGCATTTTTAGGGTCCTTTTACGGCTAAATGACTTTTTGCACTCATTACATGCATGAGATATACCATTATGCACATTATCGATGTGAATTTTGAGATTACTTTTTTGTGAATATGATCTTCTGCATTGATTACATGCATGTGTAACACCATTGTGCACCTTTTCAATGTGGGTTTTAAGATGAGATCTCTGTGTGAATGATTTTTCACACTCATTACATGCATGAGATACACCATTATGCACCGACTCGATATGGGTTCTGAGAATACCTTTCGTTGTGAAGTTCTTCCCGCAAATATCACATGCATATCTGATACCATTGTGCACATTTTCCATGTGGATTGTGAGGGGCCTTTTATGGGTAAATGATTTTTCGCACTCATTACATGCATGAGATATACCATTATGCACCGAGTCGATATGGGTTCTGAGAATACTTTTCGTTGTGAAGTTCTTCCCGCAAATATCACATGCATATCTAAAACCATTGTGCACTGTTTCAATGTGGATTTTAAGATGAAATTTGCGAGTGAATGATTTTTCACACTCATTACATGCATGTCTTATACCATTATGTTTCGCGTCGTTGTGGCGTTTGAGACCAAGTTTTGTTTTAAATTTCAATCCACATGTATCACAAATGATACTACTATTCACTTTATCAGTGTGCACCGTTTCAATGTGGATTTTAAGATGAAATCTCTGTGAGAATGAGTTTCCACACTCATTACATGCATGTCTTATACCCTTATGTTTCGCGTCGTTGTGGCGTTTGAGACCAAATTTTGTTTTAAATTTCAATCCACATGTATCACAAATGATACTACTATTCACTTTATCAGTGTGCACACTTTCGATATGGATTTTGAGGGAACTTTTTTGGATAAATGACTTTTTGCACTCATTACATGCATGTCTTATACCCTTATGTTTCCCGTCGTTGTGGCGTTTGAGACCAAGTTTTGTTTTAAATTTCAATCCACATGTATCACAAATGATTCTACTATTCACTTTATCGATGGATGTTTTGAGTCTATGTTTAAAGATTGATGTTTCTTCAACTCTTCTCTTATCATTTTGCTTACTGAGTTCGCAATCGGAATTCATAATCAATTTTTCTGCTTCTTCATTAACAAATTCTTCTTTTACTACCCCAGCATTTTCTACTTTTATTGTTTTTTGAGTTTGATCGTTGAATATCATATTCTGCAAATAATTTTCAGAAGAATCCTCCATTTTCTTAAGTAGTAATAAACCCGTGTCGGGCTTTACATCTTTACACTCGAAAATTATTTCCATGTCGTCATGAGGATCAGCTGTTTCATCATACTCTTGTTTAAGCCTTTGGATCTGAAATAAAATCGAAATGATATGATGAAATTGTAAAAGCAGATATTTACCATAACAGTACCACAAAATTATCAACTCTTACTGTATTTCCATGCATCAATTGGGAAAATTCAACATTTTGAACTTCAGGGGCCTTGTCAATTGTTTGATTATCTTCATTATCATCTAGCGACATATCAATTGGTTCCTGTTTTACTCTAAAATAAATACAATAAGATCAAGTATTACGCTATGATATTTTATTCTGTTTTATTTCTAACAAAGTAAAAATTACCTAACAGCACAGCTGAATGTATCGCTCGATTCCATCTTGCTTAGTTTAAACTTCGGCAGCGATTAATCTATCTATAGTACTACTATACATCGAACAAGGTAGATTGAATTTCATAATATTTACAAGTTATGTTTTGAAAACCGTTTGAACTGTTATAAGTAAGCTGAAAGAGGCTAAAGTATTATTGTTATATTATTGAAGAAATTATATTAATTTCGTGTCTAATGAATATTAAGATTTTACTATGTATAAGTATTATTTTATTATTTTCTTCGATGTACGCTAAAAAAGAGATTGTACGTTACTTTTTTTCGTAGGCCTGAGCACGAAGTATTTAAAAAAAAAACACCTTTGATTGGTCAGTTGAAGATAATGAAAGACGAATGAATTAAGAATCCGGGGAGTGGCTAAGACACACGACACCTGTCAATAAAGTGGTAGCTCAGAATTAATCTAAAAAAATAACATGGTTAGTGCCGTGGACTATTGGACAGATTAAAATGACTTGATAAAATGAGATTCTTTAATAAAACTCGAAATTGTTGCTCATCAATCGTTGTCAACTATACGAGAGGATTAAGTACAGGAAAAAACATACGCGCAAGAGGCGATAAGTATCCATCGTTGCTTTATGGGCAAGTCAGGATAGTAAACATGCAGCGGAAAAGTACGAAGAGCGTCATACTGTGTACAGGCGACCAAAAAAGAGTACGTGGACCCGCGTTGATCCGCGTCAGGAACACGTAACGCACGAAAAGTTACACGCATAACAATCCATGCAAAATTGCCCAGAAAAATATTATCATAGCTGAGTAATGAGCTTACGGGCGCTTAGTCTCTCGCTTTTCTCGCATTGACCCGAAAATGTAAATACGCATAGACGTATGCTCTCGTTCGCCTTTGCCGCTCGCGTGCGCGTCCCTTTTCCTGAATACATACGCACACACACACACGCATATACAGACGTACATTTATATACGTATACGCATTCATTCTGCAGAGTGCAGGGTCTTTACAGATAATTGGATTTAACGTTCTCGCGCAAGCTCCGATGTTCATTTGACATTGCGTGCGCGTGGACACACACGAGGCAGTGAATAGAGAGGCTGCTGCTGCTTTCGCGTTGCTATTGCTATTGCTGCTGCTGCTGGACGAGCTGTGTGACGGGTACGATTGGATTATATTATGCTAACTGCTAACTGCTGTGCACATGCTCGTGCTAACGTATGTATGAACGAGACGTTTAAGGAACCGTTTACATTTATCCGAATGTGCGGCATATATTTATTTGTGCGACGCAGTATGGGAACAAGTACGCATCAACGATTGACAGAAATCTACTCGAAATTTTCATGCTTTGACTTATATACATTAATTTTTACTTTGCCACTTGCAGATTTACAGAAAAAGATACTCGCCATCTAGCGGTAGAGACTGGCTCTAATTTTGATTGAATTTTCATATGATTAATTAACGCGCAAAGTCAATAAGTGTTGATACATGCATTTTTAAAACCTAATTTTACATTATATATTAAAGTTCCTTTTAACAGGTGTGATTCATTCATCGAAATTAATACAAACTGGGGTATAAATGAAATATTAATTAGACTTTATTAGTTTTCATATAATCAAAATATGAAATATGAAAATTTCATCATCTTACAATTCAACAATTAGTTTTGTAACAATGATACAACATTTCAACGTGACTAATATATGCTGCATTTATGCCACATAACGTTATAAAACATATTTCTATTGAATTATAGCTATTGAATATAAACGAAGTGTTCAAAATCGACAACCAATGTATAAAACGCCTAATTTATTTCTTCAAAATAGGTTTAATCAATGATGATTTTACATTTTCTTTGACTGCTATACCAATAACACGAACGAACAATCGAAACAAATCAAATTAAATGCGTACACAACACGATTTTAATATCCTCGTGTAAAATTGTTCTTTTGTATCTCACCACCAACGTTCAAAAAAGTACGTAAATGTTTTTACGGCGCGGCGAATTTCGCTGCGTCTTTCAACGCATCGCCACCGACGCTGCACAATGGCTGGAGAGCTGCTGGGCGTGTGCTCGCGCACTAGCAGCTTTTAAAAAAACATCTAATTTGTAAGTAAAAAGTAATGTCTCGTGGCCACCCCTCCCCGCGATAAATATTTCACGAGGCTCCATATACGCCTATAATATGCGACGGCCTCTTGCTGTATAGCTGGGCGATGAACTATATCTTGCTTATATCATGGCTTGGATATACAGCCGGGCGCGCGAGCGGGACACGCGGTATTTTCCGCAGACTTTAACGTCATAATGCAGAGCAGTTTATGCCCATGCAGCGGTCATAAAAGGCCGTCGTAAACGCGCGCTGGGTCGCCTTTATTCGCGCGCGCTCGCGAGATGCTGCCTAAGACGTAGTATCCTCCTTGGCTCCCATATACATAATGAGTGCCGGCCCGTGTCGTCGTGGAAAGCTTTTCGAGGGCTTATGAGCTCCCTAAACACGCGTATCATGATGTATAAAGAAACGCCGACCTTACATTCACGCATATGGTACGGTAGTCCATCTGCGAGTCGAGAGACAAAAACATCGATTTATCATTCGCTTGACGCTACGACTCGTACATTCATATATTTTAAACGCGTGGTATCCATAGCTACCACACTTTTATACATAGAAGTGAACCGCATTCTTAACACCTTAAAAAAACATATCGTAATTAGATACGAGTTACGCGTGCCTCGAAGCCTGACGTACGCATAGAAAGGAAAGGAAAAAGACGTGATTTTCATTAAAAAAAAAACCAAAGTAAATGAAGTATTAGGAGTTTTTATCGTACGCATAGAAAGGAATGTAAAAAGACGTGATTTTCATTCAAAAAAGCTAAAGGAAATGATGTATTAAGAGTTTTAAATCGTTGACGTATTCAAAACGGAGGAAAAATCTCAGACAAGCTCGAACAAGTGACTATATAGAACGATACTTGTGTTTTACGTAGATAATTAATTCAATCACAGATGTTTCGAGCTGTCGAGAAGCGCAGTGCACGATGATGGATGAATATAGGAATGAAAAACCAAATGCAAGCGGTCATGGTTCTAATACGTCCGTATGGATTAATGCATGAAGAGATTTATAAGGCACAGCTGTATATTGAAACAGTGCATTTGACTGCATCTCATTAGATGTCATAATGAGAACAATTAGAGCTCATAAGAGAACGTCTATATAGACAATGAGACAATGGCTAAAAATAACAAAACTTTCCTTCGTGTAATTTGATCCTAAATCCTAAATAATTAGTTCAATAAACAGCTTCCGAATAACCACCTCGTCATCTCCTCGCACTCGTGGACCAAAAAAAAAAAAAATTCTTCCTACGTTCCCACGTCGTCCTAACACACCGACGGCAGTCGGCGCAATGATCGAATTGGCGCACAATCAGCCTCGCGGCTTCGCAGCGCTGTGGCGCCACGATCTCCGCGCGAAAATTGGCCCACGCACGAACTCAACACACAAAGGCGCGCGAGCGCGAAACTCCACCCGCCCCCGTCGCTGATAAGCTCGCGGCGGTCTCGGTGGCGGCGGCTATTGGTCGTGGGCGTGGCCCGGTTGGAGCGTCGATTGGCGCTGCCCCCACCGCTCGTCGGCATTGGCGGGCGCCACGAGCGGAGCGCTACGTGGGGTAGGAGGGGGGGAATCCCACGAGCGCGAGGCAGTATCTTCGCGCTGCGCCGTCGACTCCACCTTCCCTGGTATTCGCACAAGCGGGGCTCGCTAGCTAGCCAGTTTCTCTCCTTGTGCAAAAGTCGCTGCCGCTGCCGCTGCTGTTGCGCGCGCGCCCAACGCCGAACTACCCTCGGGACAATTGCGTGGCCGTCCGTGACACATTCGACAAGCGGCGCCGTAACGGGAAGCAACGACGCGCGGCTAGGGACTTGCGCTGATGGCACAGCAGCAGCAGCAGTAGTAGGCAGTAGTAGTAGGCAGTGCTGCGGCAGATACAGTCACCCCTCTACCACTACCACAGCAGACGGAGACTCGAGCCTTGCGACGCTCTCTCCTGTTATACCCAGCAGCAGTTCGCTCTATCTATATCTCTCGCACGGACGCAAGCGTCTGCTGTGCGCTGCTTCTCTCTCGCGTGCCCGGTGAACTTTTTGCCATTTCTCGGGGCCTCCTTATTCTCCTCTCCTACTCTCTCTTCCTCTCTCTCTCCATGGCATGGGCGGCCATCTATTCTCGCTTCGAACGACACTCAGGTGTGAGACTACCGTCCCGGGAGCCTCTTTACATATAAACAGTGCGTTGTGAGACTCTCGACTGCTCGAGACGTTGCAAGAGGATCCCTGTCTCTGTACCCATTGACAACCTATATACCCAGTGCGCGTAATACTATACCAATCCGAACGGTTTAAATGCCGATCGTTGTTTGTCGCTAAAGTGTCGTGTCCATTGAGGAAATAAATGAAAAAACAGTGCGCGAAGCTGCGAGGACTATAATAATAAAATATACACACGATATAAAACTGTTCGCGTGAGACGCGAGAGTGAGATCGAAAAGAAAAACAGTGTTGATCGTTCATCGCGTAATACGAGACGCGCTCGAATTTTTTGTTATTGTTGTGTCCGTTGCTGTTGGTTTTCTCGAGTGCGTAAGCGAACGGCCTCACGACGCGTTCCGACGAGTGGAACAGTCTGCTGCCCAGCTCCACGTTGGTGGGCGCTGGGGGCACGCCATGGCTCGGCCTCGGCGCAGCGGCGGCGGGTGCCGGAGGCACGGGGACCAGCGCGGGCGCGGGCAGCCCCGTCGAGCTCGAGGGCCACTGGGGCCGCAAGCTCTACGGGGCCAGCGTGGCGCCGCCCCCGCCCGCCACGCACCACCATCATCCGCGCACGCCACTGGTGTTCGCGCCCCAGGACATGAGGCAGATCCTGAAGGAGGAGCCCGTACCCAGGGCCTGGCCACAGCCGACGCTCGCCGACAATAACGGGTTAGTACAGTTGCAATTTGGATTTTTGTGATACGAACGCGTGTGTATGGGGTGCGCGATTAGGGATTAAATTTCACGTTGTCGCTATCGGTGTTTACGGATTATTATATTTACTTTGGAGCGACGCGTTTATCGTACGGACTAAATACAAATACCACAGGATGACATTTCCAATTCGAGAAGTAATAGTTTCGAACAAAGGCACATTAATTTCGCTAAAAAAAAAAAATTAGATAAATCACGAATTCAGGAACTTGTCGCGTATAAAAATTCGCTCGACATATGTCGCGCGAGAGAAAAAAGAGAGCGAAAAAGAATTTATATCATATATAGCGGTACGGGCAAAACCACACAGCATGGCAGCCGAGGCACGTGATACGCCCGTGTGTGTCTATGTGTGTCTGTATATTCAGTAGTAGGCCACTCAGCTTTTATATATAAAGCAAACGTCGTGAAGTATTAAAGCTCATCGATCAATGGGCGTTTCGGCTGAGTTACGCTGGTATAGCTCGTGTATACGCGCGGTAGAGATGTATTACGGTAGCTCTATATACCCCGTACGCGCGGAAACTCATTGAGGTTTCATCCCTCTGTCGAGGCTCCTCTTTCAGATTTGCCCGGAGAAGAGAATGAGAACGAGAGAGGAAGACAGTAGGAGCTAGAAGCTCCGTCCTATGTGTATAGTATATAATACACGATGGCGCGGGATATATAGAGTAAAGAGACGCGCGCGTACGGTCCTTTAGCGGCTGAAGTTTCGCTAGAATTCTCATCCTCTCTCTCTCTATCCATCTCTCAGCTGCCCTCGTGCACGAGCTATCGTAATCTGTATTCATTAAGCGTCAAAGCTAATGCTATATATATCGGAGCGAGTAATCGCCGAAGCTGTTCTCGCAGCTATTTAACGCCAATTCGATGCGCGCGACCTTCGCAGGTAGGGATGATAGACAACAACGCGCTGTATATTAAATCGATCAATTAAAGCGACGAGCGAAAATTCAACTTACGCCTGGAGCTTGCGAACGTGAGCACGCGCGAGTTTTTCGGGGGAGGGCTTTGATACGTACATACACAGCTGCGCTAGCGCTAGAAAGTCGGAATAATAAAATAAGCAATCAACTTTAACAGCGTGTAAAGTCGAGCGTGCACGCGCGCGTCTACAAAACCGCTAAACAAGGCGTGCGAGAGAGTAAAAGTCTCAAAGAACTGCACTCCTCTCTTCCTTACTCTCTCTCTCTCTCACGTCGTTGTTTCGCAACTTTTCCCCCTGTACCTTCCCCGTGTATATACAGGCGCGTTTAGAGAGAGAGAGAGAGAGAGAGAGAGAGAGAGAGAGAGAGAGAAGCTGCGCGCCTTATCTGAGCTCAAGCTTTGCCTTGACTCGCTTTTGCTTGCGGCGTGCATAATACACAAGCGGTACACACTACGCGGTTATAACCTTTGCCTATGGTAAATATAGACGCGCGCGCGGGTGCCTACACACACGCCATTACGAAGGGCCGCCACGATAAAGTCCTTGTTTTTCAAAAGTTCGTGGGCAAAAAAAAAAAAAAACGAAGGAAGGAAGAAAACGAAGCAAAAAAACAGTTACGCCTCCCGATCTCACCCGCATAATAGGCCATGAGAGGACGACGAGCGAAAGAGTTTATACGAGAGAAAGAGAGAACGACGAGAGGATGATACCGTGTATGTGTGTGAGTGTGTGTATAAAACTAAAACGTTACCTGGCCTCGTTTAACGCCAGGCACGCTTTAAAGCTCGAAGGTAGCTCTAGCTGGCCGTGTTAAAGCTTGCGGTTTATGTGTGCTTTTGGCCGTGCGTACGTGTACGAGCGCGGGGCACGTACGTACGGGTACGACTCTCAAAGCGTCGGACGCCTCTCGCTTACCGTACACACAGCATGGAGAGAGAGAGTACAGTGACACACTCGACTTAAATTCGCGCGCTTACGGGCTTTCATTAAATTAACCGCCGGATTTACGAGCTGTTAGCTCGTATTTAAACGGCTACTAGTGTACCACTGAACTCTGTGGTCAAGACTAATTTCGCGCGTGCGTTACGCGTAATCACGTATCGCGTCGATAGAGCGCTCACGATTTTATAGATGTATATATGCGTGTACTTTGTATCGAATGTATAAAATGCGAAGCGGTGCAAAGAGAAAAAAAAAATTGTACATCGCTGCCACGTACGATTTCTATCCCACATTTTCATTCCCAAAAAGCGTATAGTATATAGATATAAAACTGTACATAATGTGCGAGCTTTTCGGATCCCCCTATATACGTAAACCTTTTGCGCGAGAGGGCACAACGCACGGGCGCGCGATGGCAGGCAGGAACGCGCACGAGCACAAACACGTCGACGACGACGAAGAGAGAGAGCGAGAGAGAGAGACAAAGCAATCGGCTCCGTAGAATCGCAATAAATCGCTCGATATACGCGCACACACGAGAGCGAATTGAGAGAGAGAGAGATACGGAGCTTTCTGGATAATATTTATGCCTGGAGTGCTGTATTCTATAGCGTCGAAGAGCCAAAAGCTCTCGCTCGTTGGCGCCCAGCAGCATGATTCATAATAATGCACACGCTGCAATTCACCCGCGTGCTCGTACGCGCACGGACGAGAGAGTATCGCGAGAGATAATGAGCTATTTGTAACGCGCGTTCACGCGCAGTTATATATCGGGCATTACGGTGCACATGCCAAGAGAGCGAGTCGCTCTGTATCGAATATCGCTGTTGCGTATTGAATATATAACAAGCCGAGGCGAGCTTGATTTTTTAATGCAACCCTGATCACGCGAAAGAATCGAACGTAGTCGACTCTTCAATGAAAAGCTCGCGAGTTTACCAAGATGCAAGTTGCAAGTGCCAAGCTTATTATATGCATCGTACACTTTTCACAGAAAACTCGCGCATAACTATGTACAATGACACAAACGCGTTCATTAATAAACATGCACGTGTGCGACTGCGATGTTCGCGGGTAAGGGAGGGGGCGATACAGTGCGTATGCAGATCCGCAGGCAAACGCGGCGCGAGGATACGATCGAAAGCGTGGGCGTAATTATCGACACGACGCGCGCCTGTATGTCCGCCTGTCGCTGTCGATATTGCATACACACCCACCCGCCGGCCGTGCACAAACACACACACGCACACATGCACAATCTATATACACTGCATTCGAGAGAGGCTTCGGCAAACACACAAACTGCGAGCGACAATTTGCAAATGGCGTTAGACACGTCGTTGCTGCTGACCGCCTCGTCGTTCAGTACAGTGTCATATCTCTCGCTCTCTCTTGGTTTGTTGTCGCGCGTCAAATATGTTCGTTATGTCCCCCGTACTCTGCTATATACTGTGACAGTGCCAGCGGGCTGCCGCCACCGACGCTTTGTTCAAATCTATATAGAACGTATGCATCCGTATACGCGAGTTAAACGCGTTTAATATTTCTTGCTTTGCCTCTTTTTTCCTCATTCTACGTGCTTACTTTACGACGATGCACACTTTCATTAAAAAATGACGTATTACAATCGTTCGTATTATAAAAAGCAGAAAGCTCGCCTTCGCACCCTTTACCTGTATCAGCTGGGGCACGTATACACGCAGCTCCGAAACGTACGTACGTGCGACGGTGGTCATGTAGCAATTTGCAGCCGGTCGTGTTGGCCGCGCGCGTTATTACAGTTACACGCGCACACACATAAACTATATACTGCGATCTCTCTCGCTTATAAGCGTCGCTGCAATGCCTCCGCGCGCTAACAAGAGCTCGTTTAATTGTGGCCGCGCGCGTTCCTGAACTGCCGTATAATTGCGATGAAAATTCGGTGGTTTTCGGGCGTCGTGTATAGCGGGAAATTCTCGTACGCGCAATTTGTTTGTGTTTTTACTTCTTTTTTTTTTTCATTTTATTCCGTTTCCTATATCGAACGATACGCGTGTGTATGATAATCGCTTATGTACATGTAAACACACGGCCGATACAGTCAGCGGCGCGCGAGTTCGCTCAATTACCGCGGAATTAATGATCTAATCGCGGTAATTAATCAAAGCTGTACATAGGCTGGGTATATAGAGAGACTATAGACTATACTAGACTACCGCGCACACGTACTCTGCATGCGTAAACTATACGAGCGAAGAGCCGAGCGCCGATCGTGCGTAACGAACGCGAAATCTCGCTTATGCGTGACGCTTTGCCGCTGCGTATACACATAGGCTCGGATACTCGTTATATCGCAAAGCTCGTGTCTGTGCTTTGCATGCGAGAGGGTAGTAGCTCTCGTTCTCTCTCTGGCGCAAGAGTAGCGAGCTTGCGCCCACGTATGCACATAAACCAGAGAGAGGAACGAAATAATCGGACGTTGGCAAGAGTTATGGGGCGCGAAGAGCGAGAGATGCGCGCGCGGCCCGAGCCTCGGTTAATCAGCCAACGAGGAGGATAATTATCGACGCGTTCGAGTCTCGTATATCAATGCGCGCGCTGCACTGTGCAGCAGCGGCTATCTCTATCTCGTAAGCGCGAGTAAATTTCGATAAATATATACACGAAATGGATTTATAATTTGACTTATATCCTACTTTTTTCGCGTGGTGCATGAGTTTTTCTTCGAAAGAACCACGCTTCGACGAAGAATCGATTGTAAATAATGCGTTTCGCGACACGTGCCTGCAAACACAAATACTCACTCCCCGCTTTCGAGCTGTGCAGCGTATCATATCGTAAACTGCGTGGAAGCTCGATATATGCACTCGACCGCGGCTCCAAAGCACCATAGGCTTTTTATACTTTACCGAGAAAACAATACGCTCGTTTTATAAAAGGAGCTTGCGCGCCACCCGAGTCACAAAACGCCGAGAAATATATGCTGAAATATATATATTTTTTATGTTCATATTTCTCGTTTTTTTTTTATTTTTGTTCGTTTTTTATGTCAAACTCGTTGGAAGAAAAGAGGCTATATAACGTTATATATCACTCGCGCGCGAAGCGACGATGAATTTGTCGATATAATAGCGCGAGCTTCCCCGTATAGATACAATATCAGATTGAATCTTCGCGCGCCAGAGAATCACATCCTTTCCCAAATATTTAAAGAGCCGATTGCCGCTATATTTGACTCTCTCTCTTCGTACGATAAATCTATCATTACCCACACATTCACGAATACATAATGATAATAATGTGCGCGCGACGCAGAAAGCGGAGGACTGCGTAGATATAAATATAAGCGAGGCGCAGGGGAGGGCGTCGCGCTATAAATGTTCCAATCTCAGATTAATCACCCGTTAAGAGAAACATATCGACGTCGCAATAATCGATGTGCCTATGCGGCTGCCTCGGCGTGTGAATACACGTGTTATACGTGTGTGTGTGTGTGTAACTCCGCTCGCACAACCTCGAGCTGCGAGCAGCAGCAGCAGTAGCAGCGAATTCGAGTGCCGTCGCTGCCGTGGCTGTGCGGCTGTTATATATAGAGGGCCGCTCGCGCGCGCGCGCGTGACAAATGCCACGCCGATAGCATCGTTTATTTCGCACAAATGCGCTGCAAAACTGCCTGCTATTCATTTTGCCAGCAGCGGCGCCAGCTTTCACATACAAGGCACCAACACACATGCTGCTCTTTTTTGCGCCTCTATGTGTATACACCGAATATATACTCATCCTCCTCCTCCTCTCTGTGCATATAGGCAACAACAACAGCAGCAGCAGCAGCATCGGGTCAGCCAGAAGGCACGTTGAATGTATATATAGACGCGCACGGGTGATAATCCGATTTTTAGCACCGCCCGTTTATGCTGTATATACACTATACGCACATGCATCGAATCGCGCCGAGCCATCGTTTTTACTCCCCCGCTCCGAGCGCGCTCCATACAACCACTTCTCGGTCTCTCTGTCTCTCGCTCGAATCTGTTTTTTTTCATCTCTCTTTTTTTTAACGAATTGTGATTTGACCTGAAAATTATAAACACATGCGTATGCTCGTCGACGTACGCACGTGTATATAAATAAATAACGCGTTAATTTGTTTACCTATTTAACGAGAGATTATTTGACTTACGACGGACAATTATTGTATCGAGAAAAGAGAAAATATATCGACGTTCTCTATTACGATGTTTAGATGCAACCCATGTAGCGTACGTAGCGTACAAAAGATCCAACTGTGGCCGAAACTCCAATTTCGCCTCCTAATTAGCATAATCTAAATAGCCGGGCATCGTATCGTACAGACCTCTCTAACGGTTTCTTCTGTCCACGCAAAGACAAACGATCCTCTTGTCCGTGTTTACCAAAATGAAGATGATGATCACCCCATAATGATCGATTGCATCCACGATCGAAGATCGAAAATTTGACGCGCAGTCGTAGCGCATCTTCAGTCCCGGTATGGGTCGCATATGGACATAACGAAAAGAAAACAAAAATCTCGACAGTCATGTCGGTCATCGTCCGTTTGTTAAAATCTGTCCAGAATATTAAGTTTCAATTTGTTCGTGATTCTCCACCTAATGTGCAACGAGAGGAGATTCGAATGTCGAGCTGTGATTCAGCAAAATCATTTTTAAGATGTATCGCCTCTCACGAGCGTGGATCGAAGAGGCACGGATTTTTATTCTCGAGTTAAATTGTCGGTTTGTTTTTTCTTACCATATTTTCTGTCCCCCCTTTTCGATGTCTCCTTTTGTTTCGTTTTTTGTTTCAAATGATGGAAAACCGACTAGTAGCGTGAACGATGATTCAGCAGTGAAAAGTTGTAATGGTCGCTTGTGTGTTCTTTTATTACCGCGATGATCGATTCGTGCTGCATAATCATCGTTTATCGGCTATTGTATACAATATATATAATAATATCTACGATATACACATGTGCACGTGGGTCGCATATTATATATCGGATGCTCGTATTATAGGCCCCGAAAACTTGAGCCAGCGTCGCGAGATAGCTGCCCGCGTGAGTTTTGTGTGTGCGCGTGTTTACACAGGGTCCAGCGCCATATACTTCGAGGGGTGAAGTTTTGCCACACTTATGGGCCATTACTCAAAACAGCGAAATGACCATCGGCCCCATGATAATCTCGCGACACATGAGGTCTCTCTCTCTCTCTCTCTCTGTCTCTTGTAATGTACGCGCGACTCCGACGCCGATAACGCGGGGACGGATTTGGCATAATCGCGCACCTGAGTCAAGCCGTATCAATTTCGTATCACATATCTTCATATTTCTTCTAGTAGCTGTGATGGATGTCGATGTAAAAAATGTAATTTTTTGCCTCTTCTTTGTTTTTAACAGAACGGTGCTTGGCAGGGCGCACTTTGAAAAGCAGCCACCGAGCAATTTGAGAAAGAGCAATTTTTTTCACTTCGTCATTGCCCTGTACGATCGCTTGGGTCAACCAATTGAGATCGAGAGGACGGCGTTCATTGGATTTGTAGAAAAAGATCAGGTAAGAATGCGTATTTTTGTTGTAAATAAACGGCTGTTTATTCATTGGCTATTCACTTCAGCCTGAATATAATAGGCCAATCCTATTTTTTATATCCTTTGCGAGGTTTGAGTTATTTTGGAAAAATTCGAGTAATGCTTATTTTTGTCCAATTGAGATATTTATTTTGAGGAGGAAGCTACTCGCCAATGAGTTGACAGTGGTTTTTCTCACGTTCAAACCTTGTCATAAAAACTTTTTTTCGTCATTCAAAGGCCATTTGCTTGACTCATACATACTTTGTTTTGTTATTGCACAGAAATTATTAAGAGTCATAGAATTATAATCCAAAATTGTCAATAATAAACAAAAAATTGAAGATACAATTTATGTCTGACAACTGTCTGTCGCTTTAGCTTAAGTATTCTCGTAAAAAATCGTAAAAAAACAATTGAAGACAATTAAAATTTTGTAGACACCATGTTTTACTTTAACAAATATTTTGACTTTGTCACTTGAAGATTTGCAGATATAGAAGTACTCGCCATCTAGTGGTGGAGATCTCAAGTTGGATTATCGCATTCATATTCTTTGATTGGTTTACTTGTTAAATAGTCCAATATATTTCAAACAATTAAATTTTTAAATTGTAACAGAAAAACCACCAAAAAACAAACCAATAAAAAGTTACGTATTTTAAATAATATCAAATGGTCATTGTTTGGTCATTAGATTACTAAATTTTACTAGGAATAATATTTTTTACAATATCAGAAAATCCAATTTAAAAATCAGTAGAATATAGGTATGCAAAAAACAATTAAAGTCAGCTAGGCCCTCTAATTACACAGATCAATTGTACCACCCATCGCAAAGCATTTCTCTTCGGGTACTTTCGCAAAAACCCGAAATATTCTTCACTTTTGAATTTTATCCGCGTCTTATACAAACGACATCAAAACATCGGCGCTAAATGTATATAAAATTTAACTCGGCTCGCGCTCGCGCAGCCAGCCGAGCCGTGTATTATATATAACAACATCGCACGCCTGGCCGCTCTATTAATTAACGGCAGCCAAGCCTCTCTCGGAGTTATAAAGGTAGTTATACGTTAAAACCCAACCACTGACGCTCGCGCGCGCAGCACATTTTCACGTTTCAACGAGCCGAGCACGAGCTGCTCGCTGACGCTATGCTATGCTATGCTATAGAGAGCTGCTCTAGCTTCCCGCTCGAGCTCGCAACGCGATCCCTCGTCAATTATTTAAAAACGCGTAAACTCACTGTGTGCCGAGTTTACTATATATAACTGAGCTGCCTATATCTTTCCGGTTTTACATCTTATATGATCTCGTTTAGACTTTTTCTGTTTTTTTCTTTTTATTATTCCAGTCCATAATGCGCGTTTGAGCTATGATTCGAAAATCCAAATTATTTTACAATGTTATAGAGTGCGTATATAAAAGTTGTCGTATAACCGTATCGAGCTCGTAATTAAGGAACATATCGCTGTAGTCGTGTGTGACTGAGTGATTATGCACGCGACGTTGTCGTATACGTATGTGAAGCACAACGAAATTAATTACCGCCGACACGGTAAAAGGAAAGGCGGCCCACGGATAGTGAATAGGGAAAAATAATAACAATTCATTTACCAAAGATTTCCGTTGATGAGTTGATCAATTGATTTATTAACAATGAAAAGTTGAACTGGTAAGGGTTGAGAAGGATATAGGAGTGTTTTAGATTTGGAATCGATATGACACGAGAAATGCTCAACATTGATAATGGCCTAGTGTTTTAATATACATTTAAAAAAATTTTTTAAATAACCATATCTGCATCAGTTGATGATTGGTTGAAGGGGGAAAAAATTATTTCAGTAATAAAATTATAGTTTGTTTTAAATAACACTCATTTATTGAACAATGTAAACAAATACATTTTTTTTATTTATAAGAACATCACTTGAATCGAAGTTAAATGGCCATTTGCCACGAGAAATTTTAAAACTTCTTCTAATAAATCGTGAAGTTTATATTTGGCAGCTGTTTGATAAATGTTTAAGGCATTTTCCATGGACATGCAAGAACTTTGCAAGCAAGAACGTAAAAGTTGTTCACATTTATTTTTTAATCCTTGAATTTGATATAGATCAGCAGCACCACAAAGTTCACAAATCTGTGTCACTTCCTTTACGTTTATTATTTCTATTATTCCACAATATATGTACCGCAACATTTCCATCAGAACTTCGTGACTTATATTAAGTATTTTTATCAAATTTTCATTATTTTCTTTCATGTTCACTTTGAACATTAAAGCGAAAACTGGACTCGCTCTGGCTAGCAAGATTTTGTGACCTGGAATGGTTTCTCCACGCTCTGTGAGCAGCTTCACATCGCTAAAATCGTCGTCCCCAAAGTAATCAGATGCCATCCAAGGTAGATCTTGCACTGGCATTGCTTTACTACGCCATTGGCATTGCTCTACTACGATATCACAACGAATAGTCACGATATCCTCACGAAATAATTCGTCCTTTGGATTAAGTATTTTAAAAACTGGAAGTAGATCAGTAGATCCATGTTCAAGCGAACATCTATTTCTTGCCACAATTAGAACAGTCGTGTTTTCAACCACGAAGGAAAGTTTGCAACTGCATACAAAGTCATCATTGTGATTATCTTGACTCACCAACGTTACAGTTGTGAATTTCTTGATTGGGTCCTTCACATCTCCACTTGGCACAAATTTGATTCGGAATAATTTTTCACTATCATCCAATTTAAATTTCTGAGAGCTTAAAATCAGATCTGGATTCTGCTCGCTAAAATTTTCTACTGTCCACACGAATTGGCTCTGTAGAAGTTTTACTTCAGCGTAACTTTTCCTTTCAAAAACCATGATTTCTAATTAACGTTATAAAATTAGCGTTAATCTTCAACTACTTTGATCTTGTTCACGAGACACACGAAAACTACTAAATGCAATTTTTCGACCAATTTTTCTTACGAGGAAATACCACGCGCTTCTGGCAAACGGTTTACTAGACGAGAGCGGAGTCTACGTACTGAGCAGTTAGTTACTGGCTTAGGAGATGAATCAAGTTAAAAAACGCTTGTTCATTGCCTGCAGTGCCCCACTCTCTACCGCTATGTAAAATTGGGCGTGGGAAATGGTGACTATTCCCAATAAGGCAGTTTGCTACAGTATATCACTAAATTTTGAAAGTAATATGAGCCTTCAAGATGGCCGTAGAAATAAAGAGATATCGATCAAAAAGTGATATTTGAAAATCGAAAGGATCCAGCACTTTTGATACAACCACTTTGCTTTGACACTTGCAGATTTACAGATCAAGGTATTCGCCATTTAGCGGTACAGACTTGAAGTGATATTATCGCATCATTAAAAATTTTTTTGTTTTACCGGTTGATTTTTAAAACTTTGCTCCGACTTATACTGTTATTTTTACTTTTCCACTTGTAGATTTATAGGTAAAGGTACTTGCCATCTAGCGGTGGAGGCTGAAAGTGATATTATTGCATTTAAAGTGGTTGAGAACTGGTCTCAATTTTATAAAACAGTTGAATTGGAATTTCGGGTCATTACAATGCATGAATAAATTCTACATAACTTAAGACGAATCGAGGATCGAGCGAAAATGCGATTGTAAGACACCGGACTGAAACTTCGGGAAATGATTCCTTACAATCATACAAATTGATTGCGAAAAAAAATCCATGTTAACGACCTTATTTAAAAGATATATTAATGTAAAATTGGTTAATTTAACATAAGCTGTTATTGGAACTTCTAAATTTTAATCACATTTTAATCCCTCACGATCATGAATCGTAAGAATTTCGAAATATTATCATTTAATTGAAAAGAAAAAATTATAAGCTTTCGAATGGTAAATTTAAAAATTTAGGTAAACGACCCATTTAAAAAGTTATTGTAATGTAAAGAGTGAAACTTGGCCTCTACAATGTTTGCGCATTGCGGACGCTGCACGCAAAATGGTGCCAATAGATAGGCAAATAGTTTTTTAATTCTTGAATTTATCAAATTATTTATATGGATAATGTAAAGTTGTACTGAGTATTGAAAAAAATTTAACAAATTTGTTATTTTTAATAATATTGCTCTCGAGCCTCCTTAATCAACGTTGCACTTTTCAAATGTAAAAAATTGATAACAACTACCTACAAAAGTTTGCTTAAATGATAATCGTTTTGAATTTTACAATTTTAACTAATGCACGCGATTGATCTTTGCAGGAAACAGATGGCCAAAAGACCAACAATGGGATACAATACAGGCTGCAGCTTCTTTACTCAAACGGTACGTATTATTTTCATCGTTATCAACAACATCTAAACTTTTATCCAACGTGTGCGTGTGACACTTTAAACATCGCTCTCGGACTTTAGCGCCATATACCTTTGTACAACGTACACAGCACGTCGATTCGCTCCGTGCTCTGCTTATTACGGAGCAAAAATCTCGCGCGCGTGTGTACGTATACGTGTGTGCACTGTGCAGCGCAGAGGCGCGTAAATGCCATGCGCGTCTCGCGGCACGAGAGAACTGCCACCCATCCTCCTCCTCCTCCTCGTCTCGCGTTGACTCGCGCACGCATTCTATAACATAGCCCTGTCCTCAAAACCTCTCGCGCGCGCCGTTTCAAAAGAAACTCACTTTCTTAGGCGCTGCCTTATATACGTGTCTCGTGTATTGATATAGCTCGCGGTGCGCGAGGGGTAAATAAAATGGAGAGAAAAAAAACTAGCGCATAACCTCGTGAGCCCGAGAAAGAGAGTACGAGAGAGGGAGAAAAAAAGGCCAAGTAAGTAGGCATCAACAGCCTCTTCTTCGTCTTCTTCTCTTTTCCGCTCGCTACACTGCTGCAACTTCGTCGTCGTCTTCGTCGTCGTGGATGGAATCGATCGGAATGTCGCACGCTTCTTACACACTTCTATCTTACTCCAATCGTCGTCTTCGTCGTCGTCGTCGTCGTCTTCGTCACGCGTACGATGACGGGCCATCAACATTCCATGGCTTGCCAGTGGTAGAGCAGCAGCCGAGCCGGAGAAGAGGAGAACAAACATTTTGCACCGCGCGTATATATGAAATTTTTCGGCGACGGCTGAGAGACAACGACGACCGACGCGCGGCGAATTCTTCTTCGTATTATATACACCCAAACAGCCGCGGAAAGAGCACCTAACTGAATTCGCGTTTTTGTCATACACCGCGCGTTTATATGAAAAACATATTTCGCGCGGCCACGAAGCCGAAAAACGAGAGAAAGATTTCTTGAGCAGTTGCAGCAGCTCTACGTGTCGTAATTTATGCCGTGTGACATTCGAGCGGCCTCGAGAGCTCGAGTTAAATGATAGATCATGCTGCATATGTGTGTGTGTACGCGCGCCTACATGTCTCTCGAGGGATTATATATATCACATATACATACGTAGCATAATAATACGTGAGCTCGCGCGAGATGGGATTTCATTAATATGTGACGCTTAACGCGCGAACGAGAGCAAGAGATATTCACGTTGACGATGACGACGACGAGCGAGAAGTGATTTGATTTATTTCGTATGTAAAAAAATTCCCGACGACGACTGACGACTTAATGCAATTGTACTTTGCGGAATTCGCACCTTCGGCGCTATTGTGGCGCGGTGAGCTTTAGGCGTGTCTTTATTCAAATTCTCGAGTGCTCGCATTGGCGACCGATTAACAAACGCGTTGTACGTATAAGGCAATACTTACTCGGCGATCGAAAATACGCCTCGAATCTTCGTTAAAACTCGACCGGTGGCTTTGAGACGACGACGTATAAACAGCCATGTGTGTGTGTGTGCAGTATAATAATGTATACGTGTAGACAGTCTATACGGCACGGCAGACACCGTCCTCGATTTTTTGCCATTACGCATTCGCGACGCGCGACTGTAAAAGTCCTTTAAAGCCTTTAATAAGCATTAGAGTTATATAGCGAGCGTAATCGACGGTTATTGCAAATCCAGCTGCAGTACGGCAGCGACAATTGACCATCTCCGAACTAATTAAATTGCGCGCGCGCGCGACGACGACGGCGTATCCCATATTATTACACTATGCGGCACAAATATCATAAAAATGATCAACTTTTGCCACACCGACTTTCGAGTCGACTTTTTTTATCCCATAATTGAATATTATCATTTTTGCTGAAATTTAACGAATCGAACCAACGAGAAAGACGCCGTCCGCGATACATAATAATATACGCAATAATAAATAAGCCCTCCCCGAATATAATAAGCGAAGCAGGGCACGTGCGCGCGCGTCTGTGTATAATACCGCGCGCTTGCAGCCAGCTCGTAATGTACATCAAAGTTCGATGCCATATTCGGGGGAATATCTCTCGATAAATGTGTGTCTGCGCCTCTCTTTTCATCTCTTTCTTCACCGAGCACGCATACAAAAACATTTTCTGTCCTTGCGTTGCGCGCATCGGCGTGTGCGCTTTTTGTCATATACCTACAAGCAGCAGGCGCAGCTCCTCTTGTATGTAGGCTCCGTCGTCGGCGAGGCCTTTGAGATAGTCGCGGAGCGCGAATAACGCATTTATATATATACAGTATATGTACGCATGCTGCAGGCGCATCAAGGAAGTCCGTCTCCCGATAAAAATGAGAGAGAAGAGAAAGAAAGAGGTTAATGCACTGGGTGCAATTTTTTTTTCGTCTAGATTTAGCTATCTCTCTCGTCTATATATATTTATTATTATACAAGTGCAGACATAGGCACGTACATCGACATGTATAGGAAAAATATTGGCGCGAAATTTTACACCGTTACCATCACCATACACGCGCCGCAGACGATACGATATAAAATTCAATTTAATAATATAAGTTCGCGGTCGTGCGCCCGACGCGCCCCTTACACGTATACACCAGCATACCGGTGAAAGCCAGCCTGCAACTTCCGAAATAGCCAAAGTCCGGCAGCAGCAGCGGTAGTAGCTCGGACGGGTAATTTGCGCGACCGAGCGTATCATAATCCCGCACCCTTAAGCTCTGTATATATATACCGCACCGAGGTGGAGATGCGCAACTCCACTCGGCAACGTTTGGAATAGTTGAACTTGAGAATTTCTAGCTAGAGAGTGGCTAGCTTACGACGGGCAGCAGCAAATGCCCGTACACATGTACACGAAGTTGAAAGCTACCAGTGGTGGTTTTCTTCGACCATGGGATATTATTAGTTCGGTCCGAGGGGGAGCGAGAAAGTCTTGAAGTCGACTTTCGCCTCGGACAGCGCTGCTATGGACCGCGTATATAATAACGCTCACCCCTTTGCCTTGCGGGATTATTTCCCAAAGTCATGTTACATATATACATATATTGTATATGGACGCGTACGCATAGAAAGCTCGAGGCTGCGAGACAATTGAAATTCACCTGCATCATGGCCGCGCGCGCGAGTTCTTTGATTTACTATGGAGATGTAATTATTAGCCGTTATATAGGTATGAAATATCGCACCATCGTTATGAAATTCATCAAGTACCAAGAATCGCGCGCTAATTTCACGAATTATTATGTGAACGAACCCAAAAAGAAAAAAAAATTAAAAAATAATTCCGATCCCGCGCGTGAAAAACCCCCGCGCCGAAGCTATTAATCAAGCTGCCGCGATGCGTTTATCGTCTTGCGTATACTTATGAAACGCGCGCGCTGGTGACAAGTACGCCGCGAGAGACAAAAAACAAAAGCGAAGCACCTCGAGAGCTATATATACTCGGCGACAGAAGAGGAGAGAACGTTCGGTATCTCGCGCGGCGCTCGCAGTTTGTGCCGTGTGGATACGGACAATTAGGAGAGGCGATAAATTAACGCGGCGCGTTTATATATTTAAGCTCCAGCAGCAGCAGGAGGAGCTGCGTTGTTCGTTATTAAGTGCCGCGCACGTGCCAATTGCAACCCAAAAAAAAAACCGAGCGAAAGAGAGAAAAAGACGCACTTGCCCCGCATTGTACGGATCGCTCGGCGCTCTCTTTCTCTTACGCGGCGCCTGTTGCTGCTCTGCACGTATTATATTATATAAACTTTGCACTTCAGGTGTTACATGTATAACGTTCGCTAGGAGTTTTATTTCATACGTTGATATTTAACTTATTTTATTGAATAATGGTTGAACGATCGTTAAATTGAATAATTATTTGTTCTTTTACAGGTGTCAGACAGGAACAGGACATATTTGTTAGACTCATTGATTCAGTCACCAAACAGGTAAAGTATAAATATTTATACACCGTATTAAAGTAAATTCTAATATCCATCATTGAATCATCGATCGTCTCTGCGCGTACTTGTGTACTTTAATTTGTAAGCGCACAAAATCAAACTATAATTTTAAGTAAATTATTTTTTTATTACATGTATTATTATTCAAAAGAAAATGCACAATTACAATGTGTCGGAACGATACCTTGCCGCGCAAAACTGTCGCGGTATATATTATAGTCAATCGGGCCGATCTCGCTGCGCAGACGCCACTTGCAATACCAGCGCTGCCTATACATACCGACAGTTCGAGTTCGTTGTGGCCATTGATGATTATTACGCAGTTGCGATGCAAAAAAAAAGATACGTAGCGGATCAGTTTTGCAACGATGACGACGACGACGTAGTAGCTTGACACCGTTTTCGTGTATAAATACTGCGAGCTGGTGGCCGTTGCGCTTGTATATCGCGTGTATACATATTATCTACGAACTGGTATGCGAGCGTTTAATTTTCCGCTGGGTTGATTTCTCGACAGTATTTCCTTAACGTTGCATGTATATAAAGTATATAAAGATCCAGGTTAGAATAAACAGCGCAAACAATATCAGCAATTTATAAGAGGACAGCAAAATCCATTCAAAAATCAAAATTTTCATTCGGTTTTTAGAAATTTTTACTCAATATTTTTTTAAAATTGATGTTGATGTTCTGTAACCCGCCACAAAAAATTACGAGTAAAGTAAAATATTCAGTAAAAATTTTACAGAGCAGGATTTAAAGCATTCCGTGTTGTAGCTACTAACATCAGGAACAAACTTCAGTCAATTAAATTCGACAGTCATTGCAAATAAACCTTACAGACTTTTTAATGACCAAACAATTAAAAAATTTTAAAATACATGAATATTAATTGGATTGTTTTCTACAATTTTTTATTTCGGTTATGTCACAAATGTTAAACAACTCTTAAATAACCAGAAAATGACATAATAATTATTATATACCAGTTCTTAATCAATGTAAATACGATACCACTTTAATCCTTCACCGCCAGATGGCGAGTGTCTTACTCTGTAAATCTGCAAAGTGGCAAAGTAGAAGAAATTGTATACATTGGTGCAAGTATATCTGTTTTTATTGATCTTTTTGCAAAGATTTAGTTTAAAAATATTTCTTCTTTAATTTGATCCTTAACTCAAATTTAAACATTTTGATTGAAGATTGGCTTGATGTTTAATACCGTACTTAAACGCTGTAAATTTTTTTCCCCCTAGATGGCGATTACCATTACATGTAAATCTACAAGTGACGTATTAAAAATAATTCTATATGAGTATGCTCTATTTGAGTTTTATGATAGAATTCTTTTTTTACTATGATTTCTTGCCCCAATACAATCGATGCAATTGAAAAAATGTCCCAAAATAAAGAAAACTAAGAAATGCTCGTGCCACACGAAACGTGTATCAGCAAGTAGTAATACTTAGTCCAGCGCCCGAGATATGCTTCCCACACACACACACAGTGCGTCGGTGCGACCCTCCCTTTCGGAGCCGGTAATAATACCGTTAATGCATTCCTTATGTAGAGCTTACCCCGGTATCTACACGTATACAAACAATGACGTTATTTCTTATCTCCGGTACGTACTCTGTACGTACATACATGTATACACGGCTACGTATATATATATATATCTATACACGCGAGTAAGTAAGTGCGAAGGGGTTGCTCCGTACAGACACGCGCCTGCGAAATCGAGATCCAGCGCTCGGATAAGCCGATGGAGAGCGAGCATCCAAGTACGAGCGCAGAGACACGCTGTAGAATGCATTCGTATACACGCGGTGAAAAATCATAATAATTTATACGCACGCCGAGGAACGATCGAAACACGAGCGAAAGGACGAGCTCGAGACGTTCCTCCGGTGCTAATCAAATACGACATATATACTCGGCAATCTTCGCGATGGAATAGCCGAGGAATCGACGAGGCTTCCTCTAGGCGGGAGCAAATTTACTCTCGCTTTCGGACGATCGAATTATTTAGCCCTTTACACGTACATTTATATATGTAGTTCGATCCACCTCCAGAGCTTAACGACAAAAGCCCTTGTCCTCGTGATGCAGCTATATCTATCTATCTGGATGTCTATATATAAAAGGGATAGATTGGGTAGAATGATGGAAAAAAGGAGGGCACACGGCTGCTACTGCTGCTGCTGCACGCTCCACGGAGCCGTTTTAGCGAGATTAAATCATCTTCGGATCGCTTGGCCCGTCCATTCGTTTTCTTGCACGACGAACGGCAAGTATTACACGTATATATAGGTACAGAGACGAGGCTCGCAAAAGTACTGTGTGTTAGTTTTAGCTGATTAAATTACTAAGCGAAGTCCAAGGATTCGCGATTCCATCCTTTATATTAATCGACTCGAACTGCTGCTTCACGACTACTCTCCTTTTTTTTCCTCCGTTCACTTCTTTTTTCTCGTGTTTATTTATTTTTCCTCTTTCTTTTTTTTTTTATTTCGAGAGAAGGAAAAATTTTAATAATGACCCCTTGCCAGAAAAAAATAAAATAATAAAAAAAATTCCTGTCGCACAACATTTTAAGCCTTAGCTATTGGGCGACCAAAAAAGATTTTTTTCAGTTTGTTTCTAGTACGTTTTTTTAATTGACTTTTAACTTATATACATTTATTTTTACTTCGCCTCTTGCAGATTTCCAAATAAAGGTACTCGCCATCTAGTGGTAGAGACTTGAAGTAATATTATCTTATTTTCATGGTTTGAGAACTGGTCTTAATCTTTTTGAAACAATTAAGTGGTCACTTTTAGTTAATTTAAAAATGCACTTATCTATACTTTTAATATAAATGGAGAAGAAATTAATGGTCATTTTTTTTAAATAAATTTTTTATGTTAAATTTTTCTTTCAATATTAAACATATCTGTCAGGGAAAGGAAGACAATGAAACTTCGGTCCAGCAAAATTCTTTATCGTTCGCTCCCGTGAATCGCAAATAATTGACAATCGATTCAAATTTCTATTTTCAATTCCATTTCGTGTATACAGGGTACAATGTACAAAACGCACCTATACACAATCGCCAAATAAGTCATGCTCTATACGGGCGCGCACTTATCTATCGGAGTACATTGGCTGGATCTATTTGCGGTTTACAATACGAGCAGCTCGTAATTCTCTTCCGAGGCTCATATCCTCGTGGTGTACAGTCAATTTTTTTGTCACGCAAACGTCGACTACAAACGATATGCAATTTAGAATCTCTCTTTCTCTGTCTCTCTCTCTCTCTCTCTCTTGCGGCATATATCCCCCTTTTGGAAAACGTGACAATCTCTCGCTTGCTCTCTCTCTCTCTCTCGTGGCAAGTACATATATCACGATAAAAATCCTCGCTAGCAGCAGCAGCTCAAGCGCAAAAGAACCTCCTGAATGTATAACTATTACGTACGTATACATAGAGAGAGAGAAAGAGAGGAAAAAGAAATTTTACGAGCCACTTCATAACGTGTGCACACGGCGGTGGCACATGCAAATATCCGCGCTCGATTTGGTAATAATGCCAAGGGAAAAAGAGGGTTTCAAGCCGCTGCCGCTGCTCCGCGTCTACCGCTCGCGCGCGTTATAAATCCGCGATAATTGGCTGCGAGAAAAAAAGGAGAGAGAGAAAGAGGTTAGGCTGCAGAAAAAGCCCAACTTTATGCCTTTCGTATAATACACGTTATATGTACATATAGCACAGAACGCAGACACGTGTATATAACGCGCACATATAGAGGTGTTCTCTTGGTTCTTCTTCTTCTTCTAGATTTCGAGACCCGGTTATTTCAAGTATTCGAGAGTTATATCGCCACTGAAAAAAAAAACAGATCGTTTCTCCTTCGATTCGCGTTTTTTTTTCTGTCTTTTCTTTTATCGACTGAAAAACGACTGGACCGCTCCAAGCTTCTAATGATCTCGTTTTAGGAAAAATATCATCGTATCGAATATAGAGCTTGGCCAATATAATAAGTAGGCGTACGTACCTACGATTGACACACACACGACGTTCGAAAGCACCCTAAATTTGCGATCGGCAATCGAAGATATGGGAATCACCCTCGGCCTGCGCGCGGGATCCTAATCATGGCGCGTCGCTTTTATCGATGTCCCACGCATATATTATATACACGGGCCAGGCATATGCTTCAATCTTTGACCGATCTTAATACTAAAATATGAGTATTTAACGATTTCGAAGACTAAATAATAAAAGGTACCGCCGCCACCGCCACCGCCACCGCCACCGTACCGTGTGCGTATGTGTGTGCAAGAGAACATCGGGATGAAGATAAGTTAATCCCAACTCGGGCATGTATACATAAGGATGAAAGCGAATTTAAAGGCCCGGGTATATCTTTCCCTTATGTAAAAAAAAAAAATGAATGGGGAAGAAAGAAAGAGTATTTTCGTACGAGCATACACACACATACACACTTTCGCAGACACATACACACACACACATTGACTATTCCCATGGGGCTTACGGAAATCGAATGGAAATCATTACACACGCGCGCGCGTGTGCAGAAAGAAAGATTTGAATGACTATCTTACCGAATTTATCTCGAGCCTAGGCGCTGTGTGTCTGTGTGTATGTGTGCAGTGCATCTGTGTGCGCTCCCGCGCATATAAGCGAGAGCAGCAGCAGCAGTCTTTATTTCGTTTTATTGCCCGAGCTTCGAGTCCTCCTGAGCCATTTACTGGTGCAGCTTCTTTCTCTTCTTCTTTTCTTTTGCGACTAAGACAGAGGGACTTTTCTTCCTGTGCGGAATTCGCGTTTTTTACCTGCAGGATTCAAGCTGGAGTGGATTTTTTCGTTGTTCGCGCGTTTTCTCTGGATTTCGGTGTATTCAATCTCTTAATTTTCAGTAAAAAAGACGTTGTTAAGTATTCGAAGACTTTACAAGATGACTTTTGAAACGTTCGCAGTTGAGAAAAGTAACTATTGCGTTGTTGCATAATTTAATTATAAATTATCAAACCTGAAGTTTACGGGAATATAGATAAAAATGTAGCTTTACTCAAAAATGTTTTGTTCGTGTCTTTAATATCACTAATAAAAAAATTATGCACAACTCAAAATCTTATTTTATAATTTAAAAATTATTCATTAAAAAAAAAAAAAAAAAAACACGTCAGGTTAAATTATTTGTACTTCTACTGGCTAAAATTGATTCAAAGCGTAACCTTACAAAAATGTGGGGAGTTTTCGATTTTCCCATAGGAATCATCATGAGAAATTCCAGCAGCGAAGTACTCATTACACTGTATTTTTGGTCATAATTGTAAAAGCGCTACCATTGCTATGTGGTGCCATCTAGTATCCGCAGTAGCAACGTGTCAGCGGTGTCTAAAGGCCTCCATACGATAAAAAGAAAGTGCCTAAGGCCTTAAGGCTGAAACATGGACGGTATATTGAAAGTACGCCATGCGTTGCCTGGTGGCGGGACCACAAGTTGCCGTGTTGCTGCTATATAACAGTTTTGTGTGCGAGCTACACATTATTGTGTGATCGTCCCATCAAATCTGAGTACCTAAGCCTCATCTACATTGAGCATGCCTAACCCAATTTTTGTGGGCAATAACACCAATCGTTCTCTCGGTGTATGCGTGGAACGGAATGTAACGAAACGTAGCTGAACGGAACTTAACGTAATAAAACGGAACGTAACAAAATGGATCGGAACGATCCGCGACAAACGCAATTCCTTTGCACGCAGACTGACCTTTCCGTTCCGCGTTGCATGGGACAAAATGGATCTACACTAAGAGGATGATAATTCCGTCGGGTGAAACGCCGGAATCGGTTTCTGATTTGGTTGCGTTACTTTTCAATTCAGTCGAAATGGAACATAGTGCCATCTATGGTCAACGAAGTAATTTTTTCAAAGCACGAATAAAAAGTTAATGAGCGTGAGGTGCGTTTTTAAGTTACATCTTGCGCAGAAAATGTATGTCAATTCAATTACGTTTAAATCCAGCTTTTACCACAAGATGGCGATCGTCTTTACTCGTAAATCTGCAAGCGTCAAAGTAAAAATAATCGTATAAGTGCGATGTATAAAATGACAGCCTATATACTTTTGCTGACCAGTTAACGCTGACTATACGTGCATCATCTCCGTATGCGCCTAAATTCGGCCACCTCTGCCCAGACACACGCAGCAGCACCTCACGCGAGACAAAAGGTACGTGGCCTGCGGCCAGTGGACGCGAAGTGAAAATTCGGGCTGGCGCGAGGGTCTGCGAGATCATCTATCGGTCCTCGGTGGTCAATTCCCCGGGGAATATCGTTGAGGGCATCTTTGGGACGCGTCTTAAAATAAACTATACATAAGGTCAGGATGAAGATCGCGAGGCGGAGTGTAGTGCACCGCTGCCGCCGCCGCTGTTGGGTGTATATAACGACGCGAAGAAGGCCCCCGCGGGATCGACGGCGGCAGCGGCGCGACCATAGTAGTAGTAGTGGTAGTATAGTAGCTTCGGGGCTGCGCTTCTCCTGTATAGGTACATATATCCACATACCCACACACATTCGCTGGGTGTGTGCTGTGGTCTCCCCGTGTTATACACACCGGGGCGCACACGACGCCGAGCGCGGCTTCTCCGCGGAGACCGGCTCTCGGCACATCGGGATTCGGGATAATAATTATAATATATATAATCTATATCCACGAGAGAACGAAGCCGCGCTAGGAATATTGTATATGTAAAGGCCGGCACGGTGGTGCAGTTGACCTTCGATTCCCGAATCGTGGCCAACTGGGGCTATAATGCATAGCAAAAGTCGAGCACCCGGAGTACATCGAGCTCCGTAGCGACGAATCGAAACTGTTTTTAGTCGTTTTCATATCAGTTCGTAGTAATGTGTATGCTAATAAAAAAAAACTGCACCTACGCGTAATGCACTCGTCTAGATACACAACAACGTTGATTATCTTTCTCGCTCGAGTTTGTTACATGTATACTTCGCGATACGCATCGCACCCGCGCGCGAGGTGTATAATTTGGCGGATATACATCGCGCGCGACACGCGACACACACACGCATACATACGTGTATGTGTTATGCGTATTACACCCTTAATTCGTAAACACGCGACAATTAGGCCGGTGTCCAGCAAAGGCAAATATATGATATAGACCTCTCGTTGGATTGCATTTAGGTAATTGATATGCAAACAAAACATATGTACATACATGCAGTGGACGCGAGCCTGTCACGCGCGGATATGTGCTGCAATACACGTGAATGAGTGCAACTATGTACTTATAGACCATAATTTCATTAAATTGAATTAAAAATATCAGCCACGCGATACGCATATACGTATATAATAATTAAGGGCGAGTATTACCGATTTTCATTAATAGCGACCATGAAATCTCAACCGAGTATATAATACCTACGACTCGAGGGCGAGTATTAAGAATCGATAAGTAAATTGAATTAAATTTATGAGGCACGTTTTTATAGCCTATTGGACATTGATTTTCGTATAAGGCGCCTATATCGATGCAAGTAGAATAGGCGCGTCAAAAATGCCATTCAATTACTCTCGTTCGGAAGACTTGGCCTTGCATGACCGTTCGCCATTAGAGCCAACGAGAGAGAGACAGAGAGTCGAGTAAAAGAGAGTAACATGTGTGCTGGCACCGATATTAATACACCTCGATGTTTGTGCGACGGAAATTGACAAACAAGTCAACGCGACGAATAGAATCGTTTAGATATAAATGTATTTATGATAAAACTTTGTGTAAACGGCGCACGAGAGAACGAAGCCAAACTCGTGCTCGCAAGCCGCCAAAAGATCAGCGACTAATGTCACTCTCGAATAAACCATACAGAGGCAACAGCAGCAATAAGCCACATCAAACGAAAATTTCCTCCTTTTGACCTGTATACTCTGCGTCGTCGATATACGTGCGCAGCGGGTAAAAAGGGACGAGTCGAAGTTTTATTATTCCTTGCCTCGGTGCACGCGCGTAAGCCTCGCCGATGTATACAAGAAGCCTTTGCTGTCATTAAATAAAAATCAATCAGTAAGGCTGCGAAGGAGGCTTAGCGGATTTGCTGCTACTGCTGCATACAGATATATCTATCTGGGGGGGTGAAGATGCTCTGCGGGCAGAGGCAAAAACTCCGACATTGTGCCGCCCCCTCGATGCTCTTTACAGTTCTCTGTTGCTTATACATCTAAATTACCTTCCTTTACCGCTTGGAATATACAGAGGGTTGAGAGCTCGAGTTTTATTCTGTCGCTGCTGCTGCTGCTGCTGCTCCGCCGTTGTTTTTTTTTTTCTTTCACTACCACCGAATATCGAGAGCCGCGTTTAAAAGCTCGATCGCGCGTGCTATTGCATTCATATAGCCGAACTCGCTAATTTGATACGTCTTACATCGATTTCTTTATCGTTTAGCAGAAGATTATGTATTGTACGTATGTACACTCGACGATGATTAATGATGGATTTATGCAAGGATTTTTTTTACGTCGACGCGACGACGACTGCACGACTCTGTGTTTCATTTTTCATTGATATAATTTTTTTTCTCATACTCATCTTATGTACGTTTGTGTTCCATGTTTACAGGCTATCATGTACGAGGGACAGGACAAGAATCCGGAGATGTGTCGCGTTCTTCTGACGCACGAAGTCATGTGCAGGTAGGATATAATATCTATACATTTTCTCTTCGTTGTTGTTATTTTTTTGTTATGATAATCGATTAATTACGGACTAGAGTCGCGGGGCATTTACAAGATTTTCAAAAGAGCCGGGAACGATTGAATAAAAAAAAAAGCAAAACAAGTCTATGTGTGTGGCTGTAATGTAATGTACGAAATTTTACAACAAATGACGAGAAATAATTTCTATCTATCTCTCTCTCTCTTTCTCAGGAGACACGGGCGCGATTATCCCACGAGACGAATTTTTTCGATATTTAACTTCACATAATATATATAAAAATTAATTCGAGAGTTGTAGATGTAAAAAAATTGTAGCAGCGAAGTTTATAAATATGAAAGTTCCTGTATAGTCTCACGTTTTATAATCGCCAATGTGTGCTTTTAATATATATTTTTATATATTATATAAATGATATATAATTGATCGACGATGTTTTCTCAACCGTGTGTGTGCGTTCATCTGTGTTACAGCCGATGCTGCGACAAGAAGAGCTGCGGCAACAGAAACGAGACGCCTAGCGATCCTGTCATCATCGATCGGTAAGTCCTTTCCGTTTGTTATTTTTCGCTCTTGTTCTCTTCCTTTTTTTCTCGTTCCTTCGTATTATTACTTATTATCGAATATATTTCTCATCGATTTCCAAGATATATAGACTCGCGCGACACGACCGACTCGCGTGTCTCTGTCTGCTTTTTATCATTGTACGATATTATTTTTCGGTGCACGGAGATCATTAAAGCCTTGTAATACGATTTACAATCCGTGTATATGTTCGTTATACGACTTACCATCGTGGTGGTCTCGTACGTGGGAAAAGTCATCGAGTCTTTGAATTTACTAGAAAAAAAAACAAAAAATGAAGCGAGAGAAAAATATGTGCTAAAAGCAGCAATTTTTTCGTCAAAGATACGGCCGAGTTATCAACCCCTTTTACATTATAATAACACAAGTGCTACGCCTCGTAGGCGAGTGTACGGGTGTGTAACGAAGAGACAGTATCGTACGTACTTATATAGGCCTCCGTCTCTCTCTCTCTCTCTCTTTCTCTTGGCTGCACAGAGGTCTTCCTTTCTCGAGAAAGGATATATACATAGCGAATAATAGTCGTAAGATATAACGTCGCGCGCACCTGTGCATGTGCTGCGCTGCTCCTATATACGCTACAAGTACAGTGGCTCTTCTGAATGGGCAAGAGATAGGAGAAGCTGCTGGTCCCTTGAGATTATCTTCTCTCTCTCTCTCTTTTGCTCCTTCAAGAAGGTTAGTCTCTCTCTCTCTCTCTTGTCTCTTGCAAGAGTATACGCTATGCCCAAGTACAATATAAAGTATCAAGCTTGGCTCGCGCGAGGACCACACGAGACAACGACACACGGTGCCTTCCTCAAAATCAGCCATATGCGAACTCGATTGGCTAACTTTGCGTTTATTATATATTCGTGTTATATACGTATGATAATACACAGGCTCGAGTAATCCCTTTTCTCGTCTACGCCCGCGCCTAATATCTGGCGACGATTAATTTTTATTTATGTTATCGTGTGCGTACACGTGATCCTATAAAAGCGACCATGACCAGTTCGACGAGACGTCATAATAAGTATTTGAATATATTTTGTAAGTCAAGAGCCAATCTCGTTGGCTTATTAAATTCGTCGAAACAATTTTTGCATATGTTTGGAGGTGTAAGGTCGCCTAAAATAAATTAAAATAAATCTCATAAATTTAATCAAAATGATAAGTTTGTATTTCTCCATAAAAAAACCTTGTCAATGCCAAATATGCTATCGAAAACATTCGGTTACTTAAATTTTCTTGCCTCAACAAGCAACGGATTCGAGTCGCGTAGAATTCAAAAAATTGTATCCTCCTTAAATTGAACCATACATAAGAAAAAAAGGAGAAATAAGCGACGCAGTCAGTTTCCGATATATAATGACATATTTTGTTTGTAACGCGCGTGACACGTGAGTCGTGTGCCGGGGGCCGAGGCCAAGCTGTGCACTGGCACGTAAAAACGATTGTTTCCTGCCGATAAGGCTACGTTACACGTACTCGCGCGTGCATTGCCCGGTCAGAAAGCGAGGAGTCATTGCGGCGAAATAAAGGAAAAAAAAATTAATTTCGAAAATGCAGTTTTTCGGTCGCGTGTCGCGAGCAACGCCCACATCCCCGCAAATTGCGATCATCATTGCGAGACAGAGATAGAGCTCGAGGCTCTTGTAATTTCGTTTTTCGAGATTGGCCGGGTCGGGTGCTTGTTGCGGGCACCGCTCGATCTTGTATACTGCCTCGGCGGCACGCGTCACTCGGGCGAGGCATTGTACATGCGACTATCGCGTTACATTAATATTATATATAGCTCTCCGTGTGTACTTGTATACGGATATAATTTGTGGCGCGCGCGCAGTTTCTCCGGGATGAAAATTCGCCCTGGTTTTGGGCGACGCTCTTAGTTCGTTTCGTATTAGTGCGCGCAGTGCAACACAGCCAATTACACGAGCACAATCCGATTATTACACACTCGAGCTGATACTGAAAATTGAAAACGTAAACACACACGCAGCTAGGTCGACTTAAAAAAAAAAAAAAAAGAAAGGAGAAGCCTCGACACTCGACGAATCATTTACAACACAATTGTAAGTACGACTCGATCCGTCGCGCGAAACCGTTTGTTACAACTTGGGGCGCGCGGGGCACTCGTTTGCCGAGAAGAGAGAGAGTAAAAAAAACCAGCCCGAGATCGGTAAATCATCTCTGCTATACGGACAGGTTTAACCAACGCGCGAAACGCTGCACCCTCTATACAGAGAGAGAGCGACGTAGACACCTTATGGACAAAATACATATAATATACACGGTATCGGTGCGGTGCCACGGACTAATAAATTTTTTGGTCGCCCGCGCGAGCGAGCGAGCGTACTCAGAAAAAAACAACACTCTCTATACGCACCCCGTATGTGTGTCTGTATGCGTTGCACAAAGGGCGCGCGGGCGATATCAATGGCCCTGTTTTGATTGAGGCCCTCGTGCTCGTTTGTGACGTGCTCGCTCGAGCGTGCGCTACGGTCGATTCGTTACGGCGCGTCGTCTACCGCTACTACTGGTGTACTATGTACATTACAGGCGCGTTATAATGAATGAAATAATGAATGAAAAGTTTTGAAAGATTGAGCTTCTCGGATTGGAGTCGACCTTATCCCGAGTCTTGTGCATATGCTTTTTTTGTACGAGAAATTGGCTTCAACGCGAGCTACATACGTTTAGGGGCCAAATTGGAGTACAAAGCGTATTCATTTCTTTCTCTCTCTCTTGACTTTGGACATTATACATACGAACGCGAGGAATTAGCATTTGGCAAAAAACTATACGCGCAGGAGCATATTGTTCATCGGCTATGGATTGACACACGCTCGTGCGGTTGATTGATACACGCGTTGTTTTTATTTTTTTTATTTTCACTCGATATTTTTCACGAAAAATCAGCCGCGCTCCGACGACGATCGTCATTAACGCGTGCCAATTTACAATCTCGATTCGGTTTACTTTTCAAATTATCGACCACTTTCACTGCCTGTGTCGCGGAGCGCCGAATAGAAGGGGAAAAAACGAACGAAACTCGACAAGCATCGTTTTCCCCTCTCCACGCGCGTGTGCATATCGACGAACGATCTATCCGATATAAATACGTATCTAGGCGGTACAACTGCGGAACAGTATATATACACATTCTCCGTTCTAGCAATCAGCCATCATACACATACACGCGTGCACACACGTATGCCTTAATTGATTGCTAGAGAGAGAGAGAGACGATCGAGAGGAGGGAATGGTCAGTAGGCGTTACCATATAGCGCGCGGCTTATACGCTTGTATACGCGCGAATATAACTGTATATTACCATCTCTCCGTATATATAGGTGCGTATGCGTTCGTGTATGGCCGTGCGGACACTGTATATATATGGGTAGCGACGTTACGCGCGCACACAATGACACACAGATTGACAATCAGTCGCTCTTGTGCTGCGCTTTGATGCATGCAAATCTATCGATACATGTTACTACCTGCGGCTCCCGATCATCCGGGTCCGTATATGTACGTAGATTTTGCTTGACCCCATATACGCGCGAATACATTCACGGTCGTCGCGCCTCCTTCGTTGTTCGTACTGCGTTGTATACAGAAGCAGCACATGTGGGATCGGGTTGTAAAGAGTCCGCGTCGTGCGAGGATGTAAGTTATGCGCATAAATTATACTTCGATGCTTCGGAACTAATATTCACAGAAGAATAAATAAAAAGAAACTATCGTTAAATGTTACGCATCGGTAAGCCACCTGACACCGATAATGAGGAAAACACAAGGCGACAACCGATCACTTCCTGTAACCCATTTTCCAAAAATCTCAAGATATCTATCAAATTCGCGATAATAACACGACAATCCGATCATCACACTTTTTTCTTTGGCTTTAAATCAAATAATTTAATCAGCGTCTGCCTTATATGCGCTCCACCCTACACACACACTCGTGCACACAGAATCAACTTCGTATAATAAATATAGCTTCACGTCTGACTGATTCCGAAAAGCCACTCGCACTTGATATCTCTCTTTCTATTTCTTGCATCGGTTAACTCTCGCACTGTTTCTCTATCTCTCTCTCTCTCTCTTGGTCGAAGAGAAAAGGAGTCACTGCGACCCCTGCTGCATCTTGACGCGCCTATTAAGAGAAATCAAAACACACTCGTGCCTCGACCACTTCTCCCCTTCCGCCGACGTCGTAACTCGCCTCTATATATAACGCGTCTAACACGCACAAGAGCATATGGGTGTATAATGTGTGTAAGCACATTCGGGGCAGCTATACAGTAGTGTATGCAGGCCGACGATGTGCAAGGGTGTGTCGTAGTACGTATAGCAGCAGCACTCCAGCGCAAAATAAATGACGTCCAATCCTGTATATAGATATACGTGTGTGTAATGTAACTTGCAGTTGGCTGCTGCTGTTATACTAAAATACGACCCCGCTTTTGGCCCATCACCCCGCGAATTACATATTGGGCAAAAAATACCGAGAGCAGTTAATTATTTTCGCTTTTCGACGTTCGGCGCGCGCGCGCGCGCTCGTGTCATTTTTGCGTGTGTGGCTCCGATAATTTGCTTCGCGCGTTGCCCTTTTTTTCCCTCCTTTCAAAAATATGTCGACGCAATGATCCGGGCTGACTCGGGTTGTGCGAGATGTGATTTTGCGCGAGTCGCGCGGCTAATTAAGGCAAAAGTCGAATTCGTGGAAATAAAATAATTGCTTGTGGCTGCGACACAGAGGTTGGATAATCGTTCATTACAAATAAATTGAATAAATGCAAGTTCGAAGGATTGAAAGTTAATTCATTCTTGAAAACTTTACCATCAATCGAAGTACCACGATCCAAGTACTTATAGTATGACTTATATATACATTTGTTTTGACTTTGCCACTTGCAGGTTTACGGATAAGCGTACTCGCCACCTGGTGGTTGAGACTTAAACTAGGATT